TCTCTCAATCTTGTCGCCAGCTTTATTGATCCCATATCTCAGTAAACATTCTCTAGTTATGGGATAAAAGTTTTACCCCCTACTCTTTTCTTTTTTTTTCTCTGATTAGCGAGATCTATATCGTTTAAGAAATGGCGAATTTCGTTCTAATGGTTCTCTTATCCGATAAATAAAGCAAATAATAAAAAATCTAGTGGATCATTTTTACGTAAAAGTCTCACGAATACATGAATATACGGTATTAATAAATTGTTAAGAAATTCTATTGGATATACTGGGAAACAATACGTGTATTAGACGTATGGCGTCACACGAACATTACTAGCAATCGATACCCATTAAAAATCACGTGTTACTTAAGAGAGAGAGAGAGAGATGACAGTTTCCCGCATGCGTCATTTGAATTTCAAAATGATATTCTTCTATTATTTATAAGCCAAGTCGAAAGCATTTTGTAACTAATTAGCGATAATACGTTTGATGTTTTATTAGTATTATATATATATATATATTTTTTTTTATTGTTTTTTTTCACGAGACGATTTTTAGGAATAGAAAAGCACGAGAATATGAACAATTTCCATTCCGGATAAACAATGACTCTTTTATGCGGTTCCTTCAAACAGACATTAAAATGGATTGAAAGTGGCTTCTCTTGCAAGAATAGGACATCTCTATGCATAACGTGGACGTCTTTTGCTTCGGGCTTACCCCTACACATTAGTTCCTAGGAACAAAACAAGGAAAGATGTGCCGATGCTGACCGCGTAGTGGGATCTCGACAAATAGAATGTGATGTCTCTGTCACGTGATACACATCCCATCCATTAGAAAAGTTGCAGAAATTCTCAGGGGTCTCTCCACTCTCCATCACTTCATTTACATTGGACAGTATATCTTCTTTCATAACTCGTAAGGTCATGTTGCCTCATCATTCTGTTACAAAACAAGACAGGATGATGGAGACAACGCGACCTTAAGAGTATAATAAAATCTCCCGGTTCACTCCGTGCATTCATATAAATATTTTTTTATATATTTTTTTTTAGTATTTTTCTTAATAAAATATTAATATTTCGGTTGATAAAAATCAGATTCTTAGGTCTGTATCTTTAATTTTTAAACGGTATTAATTATCGTTAGTTAAGATGGTTTGATTGGTAGTTGCACATTTCCTTCGTGTTTTAAACTAGTTGATTATTGGTTAGAGGAGAAGATACTTCGCCTCTATTGGACGGAAAAAGGATTTTAGTCGCCGCTAAGACAACCCTTTCTGCACGTCACAGTACAGGATGATGATTATTGGCGGTTGGCGTACAGAAATTTTAATTAAGCTCTTTAATTTTAAAAGGATTTTTACAACACGAAAGGACAGATGTCCGACATTTCCTACTTTCTTCACATTTGGTGACAAACCAATATCAAAGGGCGACATAAGTCGACATCTAGGGAGATTAAGGTTCTTCTAATCCAGGAAGTAACCCTGCGAGTGAACTGATAATCCGATTTTCACCCCTTCCTACCTAAAGAGACGTGTACACAGATGCTGGTGGACTTGTTTTTTTTTCTCCCCTCCTTCTTCTTTAAACCTTTTTGATCTTTTATCTAATGGTTTTTTTACGTCTAAATGATTTATAAGATAAAAAAAAAGAAGAAGAAAAGGAGACAAAAAATTTTTACAAGTAAATGGCTACAAATTACAAATTAAAGGAATTTATTTTCTTTTTTATATTATTATTATTATTATTATTAAACGAGAAATTTAATTTTTATAGATAATTAGCTAGTAGTTTAAAGGTAATTTTTCGCTGTAAAATACACGTAGAGAATAGCAGTTTTGTGTCGAAAAAATCCATATAACATCGCTTACAATCTCCCGAAAATGGGGCAAGTGAACGAACACGAATTAGATTTGTTATTAAAGGCAGTCAACTGAGGAAATGCAATGGCGTCACCAAGAACGAATTGTATTAGAAGTCTTTACGCGGTAAAATTTATTTGCCTTTGAAATAACGAACTTTAGCCTTCTCTCCCCCCTTCGGTAAATTGGTACTTAAGCCCAACTACCTTCTATAAACAGCACTGGAAAACCATAAAGAGAATAGCCCAAACTTCTATCAACATACGCGTTTTAGAAAACACCATGGCAGAGTAAGCTAAAGGATATAGGTAGAAGGGAGTAAAGTGCGGGACAGATATCCTATTACCAGTAATAAGTGAGTGAAAGGAGACTACATTTTAAGGAGTAGATAGTTTTCGGTTTATTATGACTCGTTTTTGAAATGCAAATTTTACCCCGAAACAGGGAAATTACACGTGGAGTAAGCTTAAGAAATTAAAGCCGGAAAAAGTTGGGGGTAAAAAAAAAAAATAAAATAATGCAACACTTTTAAAGCTACAAATAAATGTATGGGTTTGGCCGTCATTAATATTCCTGTCGGTATCAGGTGTGTAAAACTAATGTTTCGGTAACAACCGTTATCGGTTACGCTTTTTCGAATCTAGTGTCTCAATTAGTGGTGAGTTTAATGCATTTCTCTCTCTTTCTCTCTCTCTCTCTTTTCCGATCTGTGAAAATTCTGACAAGAATAAGAGGGGAAAAAATTCGGCTCGTGCCGGCTGTCGACGTATAAGAAGCGAATTGCCAACGACGTATCCATAGCTCATATTCAATGTACCATCAGATTTTAATTCAAATAGGAAGTACTTTACATAAATCTTCGATTTGCAAGCTGCCACGAGGTGTAAAAGAGCAGCAATGCAGACAAACATTTCCAAGCACCTTCTGCCACCAACATGGCCGCGTTAATGTTCCCCATTATTAATAGCGTGATTTACTGCGCCCAAGAAGAAAAAGGGGGGTTACTCATGCTATCGATGATTTATGCTGATGGTATTTGACCCCTTTTATTCCTTCACACAACACTTGTAACCCTTTCTTGCAACTTTTCTGACCCCGCCGAAACGACACCCGAAACCAAAAAACGGATCACAATCAATTGGAGTATTATAAATGACGCTAATAAAATATTACTATTTTTGCCTCCAGGTGTGGCTAATAGTCTGTTTCCATTTTTATTTTATTTTATTTCTTTTTTTTCTTTTTCTCCGACGGGATCTAAGCGATTAAACTTTAAACGCGTGGGAATATTAATAGGAATATTTTAATTCCTTTCTTAATTTTAAATTCAGAAATGGTTTGAAAATTTTAATCATATTATTAGCCATAAAATATCAAAAATTTATACGTTAATAATCTCGTAAGAGGATCGTTAGGGGCCATCGGATCTCTCAGTCATCCAATATCGCAAATACCATTTAGGATATCAAATTGTTCGTCTTTCGATCGTTTCTTTAAGCACCTCCGACTGAAAAACCTTCTTCATGAAAACTTTATCTACTAAGTTTTCTCTAAGTTTCGGGGGATATTGGAAAACTAGATGACTCATTGTTCACAAGAGAAATAGCTTACGTGGAGGAGTCGGCAGCCATTTTTGCCCATCAATAGATGTATAATTGAGAAGTACCTTTTTTTTTTTCTTTTTTTTTTGGCCTTTTCTAATGTCTTCAAAGCTATGTATAGTTTACAACCGCGGAGGTTCACCTCCCCCGTATCGGCGTTGTACCTTTCATAAAAATTACATTCCATCCCGCTATTTTATGTCTATCATGGACTGCTCTTTATGCTATCTGTTTACTTTCCAGGTTTCTCATAATTCCGCCTAATGGAATCACTATAGTTGTGGAGTCACGTGTCCCGGGACACGTGATGTCTGTTTTCATCGGTCAACAATCAAAATTGACGTCAAAGGAGTCACCGATAGTTGAAAAAAAAAAAATCACAGCAAAACCCGAGGTCGTTAGATCACCATTTATGGATATTTTATTTCTTTTTTTCTCGTTAGGTAACCCCTCTATAAAGATTTTTATGAACTTTGGGTAGAATTTTGTTTTGGGTTTATATGTTTTTTACTAAGTAACCGGGCTACGCCCTTTCGTCCAAGTCTTCTTGACCTGTTGAACCATCTTGGATCATGAATACTGCACAGTTTAATCAGCTAATTACCTTCTTACAAAAGTCGATACAGCTTGTTCTGCTATGATCTAGAATATATCCTAAAGCGATTTCTATCTACGAAAAGTGCTTAATATTTCAATTGAAATGGAAGTATTCTTTATCCTAATTAATGATATTTTTAATTGTAAATTTTGGTAAGTTTCTTTGTCTTATAGTGTTAACCGTCATTACAATTATTCGACTGTAAAATCAGAAAAAATGGAGTTAAAAATAGTCCATTCTCTCCTTCGATCTTAAGCGAAATAATCAAAGATTTAGTGGGTCAATATTCAAAATTTTGCCAACAACTACTGTAGGAAATTTTTTTTATTATTTTTTATTTTTAAACAGAATAAGATTTAAGTAAAAAGATTTTTAGAATTATCGATATTGTAAAATAGATGAAATCGTAGCATATCTGTTTTAAAAGTATACGTTCTATCAATCATGTAGTTCAAGTAGATTGACTACTGGGAACCGATAACATACGATTCTGTCAAAGACACAAATAAAACAGAGTAGCATCTTTTCATCTGGTAAATGCGAACTTTTAGTCCTCAAGGACTGCTTAAATATTCGACTCGCCGGACAAGTGACACCAAATTTGTCACCGATGCCCGACTGTGTCGTGACTTTGCTGTCGCCTTGTTTCTTCTCCCCGTGAGAAAGGCTCAACATCTTTGATAATATTCAAAACCATTTATTACAACGTTATCTTTTATAACATCGATAAATGTATCGGGAAAGACTTGAATTTTTAAACCTGTTTTTAAATTAATGATATTGCTTTATATTCTCTCTCTCTCTATATATATATATATTTTCGAATATATCTAAGATATAATATTTATTTATATTATATTAAAACGGTAATAATTTAATTGACAATTAAAAATCTTGTAACCTAAAGTGTGATGCTTACACGAAAAGAAACACGGCTTACCTCTCCTCTTCCGCCTCGTATTTTAGCTTCGGTTAGAGTAATCCAGTGGAGAATTAAAGCCCTCTTATCGTGTTTAACACGATCTCGCTAGTCCCCTGTCGGATAGCGAATTGACCTTCCTGTCTGGACAACTGGGCCTCCGATTCTAGCCGTGTCACGTGATACTGCCAATTCTCTCCGACCTAGTGCAGTTGGTCATCACTGCCGGACTCTGTCGTCACCAGGAGAAGCATCATTCACAGGGGCAAGTCTCTCTCGATTTTGTTCGATGGCGTGTCGTAGTTTATATATATATATATTTGTTTTTTCCTTTTATCTTATTGAATTTTTAACGGGATGCATCAGAAAATAAACAAAAGAAGATTTCACTGGTTTTATGAAAATGTTTTATCTCTTTTCTACAAAATTTTCTAAAATATATCGATTAAAGAAAAGAAAATCTTCCTGTTAGAAAACGTCAGTATCTTTTAGATCATTCGAGTTTAGTGAAGAATATATATGTCGGCGTGTTTAAAATTTAGTTGCTTATCACGGCGTGAGTGACTCGGTTAACAAGGCCACTTAGCTACAAAAAAAAAATCCTCCAAGTTTTGCTAACGTCACTTCTTATTCGTAGCAGTTAATACTTTTGTCTTTGTGAATAATTCATCGCCTTTCGGAGGCCAACCTTCGCCAACATAAAAAGCATTCAATTAATTTGATAGAAAGGAGGTTCTTTTTAAGCTACTATCTTCGCAGGTTGTAAATTATAGAACACCCTAACCCCCCCCTTTTTCTCGGTATAAAGAATATACTAACTAATCTTGTCCAGAAAAGCGGGATTATTTTAAAATAATAATTCTCCTCCAACGTTGACTATACGTAACAAAAAAAAAAAAAATATATATATATATAATGGTTATAAGATAAAATTGATTGGAAATATTTTATCCCATGCCAGCGTGTAATTGTTTCTAGAATGGATATGATGAAAGTAAGGTGCTTAAAGCGATACCTCGTCAGCTTGACAGAGGAACCCAATAACTCTGTAAGACCAGACAGAGTTCAATTTACCTGATACACCCCTCAAGTCACGTACAAATAACAGAGAGGTTGCACAACCAGATGTTGCTAATCCCTCCGGCAAAAAGATTCTGTTTAAATAACCAGAATTTTTCCGCACACGTGAATCTCTCTCTCTGAAGTTTTACGTGCACAATTAAAAAAAAAAGAGAGAGAGAGAGCGGCTATCTTATATTCTTAATATTAATCTCTTACCCCGGATGGACGGGACGAGTTTTTTTCCCCCTTCTTTTCGTATAGAAAATCGAGATTTTCTATCCCTTTTTTTTATAACAGAGGAGAACAAAATTCTGGGGCAGCAGGCAAAACAAAAGATTCTGTCTACCACGTTTTATTGTCAGTGTACGGCTTGGTAATTAGTCATGCCCTTCCTTCCCTCTCGCTCAGAATTTTTTTTTTTTTTTTCACTCTCCACTATAAAGTAATGTCTCCCCTACCCAGACAATCGATTTTTTCTTTTCCACGATACTGTTAACTAGCCGTGTACAAGTTCTTTCTTTGCAGTCTACATTGTTAAAGAATAGAATTTTAGAGGATTCCATCATCCGCCTACGACTTAAAACACACACGTAATTCCTCCGCATCATTAAGTTTAACGCCGTTTCTAGCTCAAGATTTGTTGTCGTCGTTATTTATATTATTATTAAAAAAAAAAAACGAGTTTATATTAAAAAAAAAAAATTTGAACGTGGTGTCAACTCTCATCACCCCCGGACAGGTGGCTCCATCTGATGAACGAAAAACAGACTAAAGAAGTAACGGATCGATGGAGTTTCGCGTTTTTCGCTAAATTTTTATATTATCGTGAACGCTTCTAACTCAATTGTTATCGATTGTAAAAATGTTTTCCTTAATCGCGAGATTGACACTTTTGTCTAGAGCTACAACTCGACAAAAAGTTGTTTAAGCACCCCTCTCGCTATCGATTGCTCTGGCAATTACACATGACCAGCCGATGGGCGATTAGCTTGTTCTGTTTTTAATCTCGCACCCTTCTATACGTTGGCATAGGAAAAAAAAAATATAGGAAAAAAAATAGAAGAAGAAGAAGAATTAAAAATCGTATCGATTTTTCAAATTTTTAGCGGGTGGATAGGGTGGCATTCGCAATATATTCCAGATTAGTGCTATAGAACAAGATGCTCTTCCAATTACCGGCAGCAAAATTTAAAATGTAAATATGATTTTAACAAGGAGTCGGGAATTTTTCACCCCTCCTCCTTTTTTAAAAATTCTAATTTCGTTGGAAGCTCGGTAAAAATGACTGTAAGACCTCGAACCAACAAGAACACCTTAACAACCAACCATATTAATGTAAATACTTAAACTCAGGGGAGTTTTGTGCAAGAAGATAAATATAAAAGTTAATACTTTCTTCATCAAAGAAAAACCGTCTTTAAATTACAATATCTGTATATAATCTGATGATGCCTTTATGAAAATTCGGACATCCCCCCTCATTTTATTTTATTTTATTTTTTTTTTTCGACTCGTATTAAATAATCTTCGGTTTTAATCAGTAAAAAATTAATTATTATTATTTATTTTATTTATATGACTCGAAATGATTAAAAAATATCCACACCATTCGATATTCTATCGATAAACCTTCCTTGATATTGAACATTGGGATGAGGGGGATGAGAGGTTTCTGTCGAATGTAACTTGGTTCCTTTACTGGATAAGATTTTTTGGAAATCGAATTATAGTGTAGAGAGAGAGAGAGAGAGAGAGAGTGAGTCTGAATTAACTCGATAGAAATTTTAATACATAATAACTTCTCAAAAAACAAATTAATTTAGTAAGTGGAACGAAGGATGCGGAACAGATGTTGGGATCAAAATTGGTTGGAAAAAAAGAAGAGAAATCCCGATATGCAGCTTTTAAATAAAAGCGAATCTATCACGAAAAATAAATAAAGACTACATAAATTATTAAAAACTGAATAAAAATTCTATAGAAAATATATTTTAAAATTTTACGAAACAACTGATTGAATTTTTTTTTTTTTTTGGGAGGGGGTCGAATAAAATTTAGTTTAACTAATTATAATACTATACAGATACAAAAACATTATAAATATTAAAGGAATAATTAAGAAAAATACCATTAATTAAACTTAAGTGACGATCGTTTCACACGGTATAGTAGTAGGGGTGGTGAGATAATCGAATTTTTTTTCTTTTTTTTTCAGATTTAACAAGTAAATAAATCGAGTTATTAAATTCGACTTTTCTTGATGAACATTTTTGTAATCGAAATGAAGAGTATTCTTTCCTTACGCTATCAGTAAAGTCAATCCATAGACTTCAGAAAGCAATTTCAAGCAAAATGTGGCTTTCCAGTTGTGTTTCAGAATCTGGGGAATGTCCTGTGATTACAGAGCATAACGCTTAATTGCGCTCACCACCACAACACTGTTATGGTTGAAAGACTTTCAGGTATTTCTCCGATACAGCTCAAGCTAGTATATATCTTTCAAAAGAAAGTGTCTCTGTAATGGTAACTCATAGTGTAGTATATTTCTTACGATCCAGGCAGAAATTTTTTTATTTTTATAATCACACTTTTCCACTGAATNAAACAAGAAAAAACTTGTTAAGTCCAAATGTGCTCTAAAAGCCTGACGGGACTTTTAAGTCCCATAATTAAAAAATTTTTTATTTACATTTTAATTTTTTTTTATTTATTATCTGTGAACAAATATCTCTTCTGATGATATAATAAGAAGAAAAAAAATTTTTTATCAAAAAATGAAAATTCGGGCTATAAAGGGTTGAAACAAAAATTAGCTCCGCGATGGTCTGGACCGTATAGAATTATTGAAATCCTGGGACCTGTTAACTTTAAAATTGAACACCTACAAAATAAACGGAAATTACATGTACATGCTGATCGCATTAAACCGACCAGTGCTCGAAAAGAATTTGACCTAAAATCTGACCTAACCACTAATCCAGCTACCGTATCGCCAGATGAAGAACCTCCAGCAGATATTTCTATCAACCCTTGGGACGATTTTATTTTATCCTCTATACCCACTCCACAACCGGAAGAGACGACAGAGCAGGAAGATGAAGGCGACATTGAAGAACCTGAATCAGAAAGCGATGTAGGGCCAGAGGGAGAGCCAGATACTACTCTTCGCAGTCGGGGCCCAGTTGAAGATGAGCCTTGGGTTATGCCTCGACCCACACGTAACCATATACCATGGTTCGTTTTTCCTGCTGATAGTCAATCATCTTCCTCTTAATCCCTTTAGTTTATCTAAAGGAAAAACCATACGACTTCCGTGTTTCGATATAAGCTCTATCTCCTATACGAGACTCAAATATTAAGACTAATCAATGTCTTTCCCCTCTTTCCTTCCTCTCCTTATTGGCAAACCCTTCTTCTATATCCACTATCTACAAATTAAATCATACTGGGATAATTAATCTCCCAAACGCGTGTACAGGTGTAAAGTACTAATTATTTTTATCGGATTGCTCTACAACAATTCTTCTATCAAAAGAGCCGTTACCCAACGGGTACTTTACGCAGGTTCGCCTTTATTGTTGCCAGGCCTGGACTTTTCGCGTGCACCAAAGTAAAAGATTAAGGGAATAAGAATTTTTTAAATTATAAAGTTTTCTTAAGATACATTTACTTTAAACCTACCTCTCCCTCTTTATTTATTTATTCGTAGTTACCTCCCTTATTCGAAACAATATAATATTTTAAATTTAAGACATTGCTAATTATTATTTGAACATAATTGAGTACCCATTAGTCCAATAAAAGCTTTATGTAATTACGAAAGGGAGGAGAAAAAAGACGGTTGGATGAATCTATCCCGCATCAATATATCAAGTAAAGTTTAATGTGAAAATGTGCGAATTAACGGCATCGGATGCAAGAGTAGAAAAATGAAGAATGACTTTAAACCTCGCGGGAAATTTTCACAAAAAGCAAGAACTTGTCACGTGTCCTAACGGGACACAAAAAACTACAACGTCCTTTCTCTCTCTCGCTTCTTTTTAAAGTGGTATTTTTATTTTATATATATATATATATATATATATATATATTTTTTTTTATATTATTTTTTTTTACTGACTGCATTAGATGTTGCGGCCACTTCAATCTAAATGAGAAGAAAGAAAGAGAGGAAAAAAAAGAAAGATA